CCAGTCATCCTGAATGTCAAGTCGACGTAAGTCCCCCTTGGTTTTACGAAGTTGAGAAAGCGTTAGGAAATCTGAAGCGAGGGCGAGCTGCAGGTCCTGATAGACTGACCCCTGAGATATTTAAGGATGGTGGCCGAGGTTTAGCAGTTAGATCGACTGAGATCTTAGGTAGAATCTGGGAACTGGACGTAATCCCATCTGATTGGTCTCAATCCTTGATTGTCCCAACCTATATCAAAGGACAAAAGTCTTCTTGTGACAATCACAGGGGAATAAGTCTAACTAATATAGTATCTAAATTAAAGGCCTCAATAATACTTCGACGCTTAACGAAAGCTCGTGAAGAACAGACTCGAGAAAACCAGTCTGGTTTTCGACCTGGACATGGTTGTGTAGACCACATCACCACACTACGACAAGTCCTAGAACACAGACACACATTTAGGCGTCCTACAATAGTTGTTTTCCTGGACCTTAAGGCGGCATTTGACTTTGTGGATTGTGAGGTTCTGTGGCAGCGTCTGTGATTGAAAGGTGTACCAAAGAAGTAGATTAACTTTATACAATCTCTCTACTCGAACACCACTGGTCCGATGACAGCTTATGGTGAACTGTCATAGGAATTCTTTACGTCAAGTGGTGTCCATCATGGATGTCCACTTTCCCCATTCTTGTTTAATTTTGTCATAGACATGCCCCTAGATATAACATTATCTTCGTTCGGCTTTTCAGGAGTCAACTTTCTACCAGGAAAATCGCTTGTTGACTTAGAATATGTCGATGACATAGTCCTACTTGGTGAAGATGCTGACAAAATGCAGAGTCTTCTGACTACCCTAAGCAACAATGCAAGCATGTTCGGGATGCTGTTTTCCCGAGATTGGGTTTGATAGGCACCTGAACTAGTGATAGGGAATGAAGTAGTGAAGCGTGTTGACCGCTTCACTTATTTGGGGAGTCTCATCAGTGCTGATGGCATGGTGACTGACGAAATCTCAGCTCCGCTAGAGAAGGCTCGATTGGCTTTTGCCAACCTGCGTCACTTACGGCGCAGGCGAGTTATCGGTTTGCTGACTAAAGGACGAGTGTGCTGCGCAGTAGTTCGCTCCGTCTTGCTTTGTGGCTGTGACCAGTGAGAGTAGGAGATATTCGTAGGTTCCTGGTTTTCGATCATATTTGTCTTCGAAGCATTGCTCGTATATCGTGGGACACCGGAGTGAGCAACGCTGTTATTAGGAAACGGGTTCTAGGTAAGAATGGCAGATCAGTAGATGAAGTGTTGAGGTGGTTGGGACATATGCTGCATATGCCTAACCACCGACTGCCTCGACGAGCTCTGTTTTGTGGTGTAGCAATAGGTTGGAAGAAAGCTAGGGGCGGCCAAACGAAAACATGACAGAAATCCATGAAGTCATTGACATGTCAGTAGTTTTGTACTACCTGGTTGGGGTCCGCGAGATGATAATAATCGATGGTCAGATGCCCTCAATGACATGGCTCAAAATTGTTCGCAATAGCTCCGGTGCATTTATTCTTTGTGTTCTCTCAAATCCTAATCTTCTGGATTCTTCAACATCTCTAGTTTTGACTTTCTAAACTTTTCTCACTGAATCATACTTCTTGAATAATATCTAATCCTAACCTCTTCGATTACTTCCAATACCTTTACTACCTCTACTACTATTGGATTTGAATTGACAATTACATCTCTGTGCTAATGTGGTATGGCAACATGAGCTGGTATACGTACGTACGAAGTTCTACGTTGTATCTGACTGACTTACTGACTAAAGGATATATATTTTATACGGCATTTAAAATAAAACTAAATGGCCAACTATTGATCACTGGATTTTGTCGGTTCAACAGCTGACCTAGGTTCATTAAAGTGAAATTAGCCTAGTTATTACGATCATGACATGACTAAACAAGAAATATGATTTATCAACTTCAGTTAGTCCTAAAAATTATATAATGATCACACTTTTTAAAGGGTATTTTCTTTGGAAAGTCACTACGGTACTTCTAAATAGTTATTCATTGAGCATTTATGATTGTTCAGATCACAGGAATTTAAAGTAACATTACCAAGTTTTGGTTTTGATAATTTCAAAAAATCTAAGCAGTATGTGGATTACTAATCATAAGCATGATTATATCTTTTTGAGTAGAAAATCAAATTTCCAACGTCTCAAAACTTTTTGTAGTTTATTTTTTAGATAGTGAACGAATAATCGAACTCAACATAGATTCAGATAGTACAAATGAACGAAATAAAAATCTTTAGTACTCAGAGTGACGTGACAACGACTTAACTCAAGTTGTTTTTGTTAATGGCACTGATTAATTTTACCTTGTTCCTGTTGACTGTTCAAACCACTGTTACTTATATTCGTTTAACTATTTGTTCGTTGAAGAACTACTCTACATTCGGTGGTGAAAAGTCAGAAATTTGGCTTTTTGCTCATTAATGTATATACATGTATATATTATCACTCACAGGACTTGAAAATTTATTTACATTTTGGTCTTAAATTATGACAGGACAATAAACTTGATGGAAACTTTCATATTAAATTTTTGGAAGTCGTGTAACCAGACAGATAACTAGAACTTATTTTATGTTACTATGAAATTAATAGGTTCAGTTCTGGAAGGTTTAAACAAGAAGTCTTAAGCCTATTGATAAGCAATTTAGAGAAAATGGATTGTTCATCCGAATGATGATATTTTCAACTTCAGACAACAAATATTATTGCGTATTTAATTTATTCAGATTAAAATGCTCACACAATACAATTAGGGAAATGGATGAAGTTGATATCACGCCTAGGATAAATAGTTAATTCCTTCAGGAATTTGGAGAGGAGAGTACTTTAAAACAAATCAGCCATTTAACTTTTCTGGTAATTTGCAAGCATATTTTATCTGGAAAGCCGTGTATTCAAACATTTCGAATAAAGTTAATGCAAACATCTTTCTTGAAACTGTTTAGGACTATCGGTAGGCTTGCGTATGGTTAACCAGTCCAACCAGACTTTTTTGGCTTTTCCATCACTGACGCACTGGAACCAACTATGAAGGAAGTTTGCAGATTTTATGGCAATTTAGTGTTTTCTTTTGGAAACATGTTGTAAAATCTTACTTTTTTGAGGTTTAATTCTTTTCTAATCAACTTACTTATAACAGACATGTTAATTCATTCCATGACAGAATTTTCTGAGTGAATTCAGATGTCTGAATTGTTCGAGAATGTATGAATGACCAGTAAGAGGCACAAATTCTAGTGTCTAAACTGGTTAAGTTGCATATATAAAGGTCTTGTTTAACTAATGGATGTTTTTACACTCATTTCATTTGCACAGAATTAGCTGATAAAAATGGGTATTAGACGTAGGTATGAGTTAGCTACCTCATGTGAGCTTACAGAACTTTAAATTACTTATACACAAATCTATAATTCCAGTCAATTTAAAATATAAGTTTCCGTTAAATTCATCTGTTGTCTTCATACTTAATAAATTGGTTAGTCATAAAGAGGAAAAAAAAATACATTATTTCTTTGATGTTAGTGGCGTTACAATCAACTGATAGCGCTCTATTTAAATATCTGTCATATTTTTCATCAAAATGTTTTTAGAGTGTTTAAAATATACATACGTTTTATGCACGCTTTAATTAAGGTTTAGCCTTACTCAACTGATTAGGTAGTTTCAACGAAACCAAACTGTTACCGCTGTGTAGGAAATCTAACAAAGATAACAAAACACTAGTGTAAGTTTGTACAGATATCTTACATTTAACGAATTATTGTCAATCACTGAAAAGAAATCATTAACTCCAGTGATGGATTTGAAAGATTGATTTAGTGATGGGAAAAATTGCATTGATCATTATAGATTGAAAGCTGACTGACTAGTTTATCTGATTTACTTACATTTATACCAAATCAATATTAACTTACGTGGTTTCGGCTCTATGTGATATACATTTGAATTTTCAACAAAAAAAGTGAATTTTTATCAGATACTAGAGACGATGATGACGAAAGACATTCAGAGAAACAAAATGCTTCTTCACTATTCTTTTAGAAGTTTATCCGATCTTTGGAAACTAAATTCAATGAATGAAAGCATTGATTTACTTACAGGGAATCAAAGTTGACAATGTGGTCTCCATAGTATGACATTTGTTACTAATCTATAACTAGTAAAATAATTAATATTTATTATACACATAAATAGTTGTAAGATGTACTGTTAGTGAACATACCTAACTCAAATAAAGATGATAACTGTTCAACTCTGTCTACAAGTACATTTAAATGCAAAGAAAGAAAATTAACCTTCACGAGTGAGTAAACGATAGCTTTCTGACCAAATGCATGTTTCCTTCATTTATGATTGTTGATAAATTAAAACAAATATTTTGGATTGACAATCATCAACAACCACTTTATACAAGATTAAGTCATCCTGACCTACTCAAATATCTTACATGTTTGCAAAATCTTAATCTTTACAATTATGCTAAACTGTCTGTGAAGAAGCCTATTGATATGGTCGTCTTATTTTATCTAAAATACCTGGAAATTTTGCCTTCTGTTATTATCAAGACTGTCATCCACTGCTACTAAAGAAATTTGTTTAACTCCGGATATGGTTGAACTCCAGTGCTTAATGTATTGTCCATAGAATTAAGTCAAGTATTATTGTCAACTGACTAAGGTTAGATACGTAAACCTCTGGATATCATTTCAGATGATCTGATGTTTTTGCGATCACTAATGAGATGATAGGTCGTTAGCTCGATTCTTTGTGGATTGGATGCATACTACTATATAGTTCCGTATTAAGACGAATCAGCTATTTAGATCTTTCCAAGTTTCAGTAATTGACCAACCAAAGATAGTCCTTCATGTGAAATTTCAAAACAATCAGCATTCAGTTTGAGCAACTATATGATTATTTATCATAATCAATAAATCATTCTTATTATTTCTGCAGAAATAATTTTATTTTTGACTTTTAGTAGATTTTAACAGGAAAGACATTTATTTATGTTTCGTTTAATTATACAGACATGATTATATGGTTATATTTTAAAAAATGTCGCTCATCAGAATAGAGTTAGACACATCCCATTGGATTACAAAAAAATCGACGTTCTCTTCTGTGTGATTTATATGGTTTTTGCTTCCCACCGGCTTGATTCAATCCATAAATCCATGGTAGATCACCATAAGGAAGCTGATCAGGTAATGAAAGTAAATGTAAGTAAAAGAAAAAAAAACAAGATTAAATAAGACAAAATAACAAAAATCTGATATGATTACAGCTTTAAAGAATCGGCTTTTTTCAGTATAAAAACTAGTAATTTTGAAGAAAACTGAACGGAAATTAAACATTAATTGAACAATAATTTATCATTATTTTCTTCCTGAATGTATCAATTCTCAAGAGTAACAAGTGAATGAATTCAACTGGAATTATCACTGAGTATCTACATACATTTGTCCATTAAAGGATTACATCATTCTGATGGGATACCTAAACGCCTAGACTGTAATGGACAAGACTAGACATAAATACATCATAAGACAACATGGACTGGGAGAAAGAAACAAAAACTGTGACAGATTCGCAAATCTATGAGCTTTCAACAAAATTATTAAAAGCTGCACAATATTATCTAACAAACACATACTCAGAGCGACATGGGTTTCACAGGATTGCACTACACAGAAACAAATCGATCACAAATGCATCAATAGAAAGTTCAGAAGGATCATAGAAGATATAAGAATCAAGAGAGGAGTTGACGTAGCTTCAGATCGTCAGTTGTGACGGTGATGAAACTGAAACTCAAGAAGCCGTAGACAACTGGTGGAACAGTATCACGAATGTTTGGTAGACGTTTCTTCGGGATACTGATTAACTCAACGAACTCCAGATGGCTCTTAGATATAAGTTTCAAGTCTTTTACTATCTGCTTGATGAGGAAGACACTATCATGAAGAGCAAATGAAAAGGGTTCAAGGAAGAAAAAACTTCTATATGTCATGAGGTCCTGGGTCTCAAGAAGCACCATCAAAAGAAATGGATCTCTGTTAATACTCGGGATAAGATTCGAGAAAGGAGGATTAAGAAGGCAGCAATAAACAACAGTAGAACAAGAGTAAAGAAAACCAAGGCACAAGCTGAATACACAGAAGGAAACAGGAAAGTGAAGAGGAGCATTTAGAATGAAAACGGAAATACGCGGAAGATTTAGTAATGATAGCAGAAAAAGCTGAAAGAGAAGGAACTACAAGACATATGATAAAACGAAGAAGCTCTCTGGAAAATATGGTAAACCGGGGCGACAAGTCAAGAAAAAGGAAGTCAGATCAATCATTGACATTCATGACAGTTCTGTTGCATGGAGCGGAAACTTAAAGAACTGCAAAAGACATCATCCACAAGAAACAGGTGTTTATTGACAGTTTTCTACACAAGATTCTAGGCATCCGTTGACCAGGCACCATCATATAAAACCTACTGTAAGAGAACAAATCAGATTTCAGCAGAGAAAGAAATCAGGTAAAAGCTCTGGAGTAGAATAATATACATACTGCGGAAAGCACCCAACTGACTGAATTCGGAAACGTAAAAGTCAGATTCAATGTTCTACAGTTTTTAGATCACTATTGTACCAATAAAAGAATGTAATGAGCTTTGGATAAGTAAAGCTGTCACTAAGTCACTAGAAAATGAATGTTTAAGATGAGAATGGTAAACATTATTGTGAGGAATTTTATTTTTGTCTCAGCATCCTATATATTTGGTATTGTGAAAACACTGTTGTTCTCAGTTTGTTTATACATTTAAAAAGCACTGATTGTATGATACGTTAACATATTTTTAAATTGACTAATCACCAGTAATATATACACATTATTAGACTCTAACTTACTAGTAAATCAATTTTAATTCATGATAAGTGTCCATTTTGGACAATAACAATAAATAATGAAATTAAAATGCATCAGTTGCTTCACTTTACTGAAACTAAACACATAATAAAGTTACCATTGCAATGAACGAAGACATTAAGATATATGGCTTTTCTGGAAAAAGATATAGTTCACTCGTAAAATGTGTACACCTTATCTTCAAACTCCGATCTGTAAAACAAGAGGATTATGGGCTATCTTCTTCTGCATGTCTTCTAGTTTTCAAAACACTCTTTTCTCACTACATATCCGGATCCGAAAGTTCACTTTAGTAGTAACTTCAGGGCCACACTCCACTGCAGTTCACTGAATTCTACTTATAAGCCACATATTGAGTAGTATACACCGTACTATTAGTGGCTTAATCCTCAAAGAATCCATGTTTGGTCGATTTTAAACCTCAACGTTTCTTCATACTGTGATTTCAAATTTTACATCTTGTGACCCGATTTAAGTTCTTAAATTCAGATTCAGTGCACGTTTTATGATTTTCTTTGATTTGAAAGTCAGATCAAAAATATTGTCACACGTAAAATCGTATCAACATAAGAGAACGTCATGTTCCATAGGTGTAAATTATTTCATGATTACTAGAAAATAACTAGGGTTTTATATGCTAGAATGCATCAATTGAACTTCAGTTATTAAAATTGTTGGATATGATAGGTTAAGATTTGAAAAATTCTGTGTTAAGTTTATGAGTTATTTATACCAGAATTATCAATAAAACCTATTTTACTTAAAATAACTTCTTTTGAGTTTGAGCGTGATATTTTCGATCTTACCACCATTCGGTTCATTTAGTGATCAAATTGAAAAATATCAAATCTACTTTAAGTATGTGATCTAAGAAATAAAGAAATGTGAACGACTTTTCTCTTTTGATTACGATAATCGTTGGTTTGGAATGATACAATTTGTTCACTTAACAAGAATGGTAGATTTTAATCACTTATTTAGAGACATACATCTCTAGTAAGTGTTAACATAGCTAATCAGGTCGAATATTATTTAAAAATTAGGGACACAAAAATGACTTGATTGTTTATGTGAAACCAAATAAACAGAAATGTTTTAAAAAGCTGGAATACAGAATTTAAGAAGTATTGTTTTTGCTTGGTAACACTGTAGGTAGGTTTAGTAAGTAGCAGTTAAGACTCGTTAACAATGCATGTCAGAAATTTTGAGAGTAGTTTTACCCTCTATTAGTTTCGAAGATTCATCAACCACTGTGTTTAGGTTCTGAAATACCATGATTCTTTGCTAATTAGTAATAGTCATATGCTCAGTAAACGTTACATATAAGATGGATTTTCAGAAGTTTTGGTGAAATTTCAAACAAGAACAAGCAATTCCTCAGCAAATCACCACGCTAAAATACCAATGAAAACAGCTCCCTAATTATTTGATTTTAATATACAAAAACCAAAAATCAACTATTATACATAGGATTATCTTTAAGGTATATCTTCAAAGCAAATTCTCAGAAATAAACATCACTGAAGAACTAAAATATTAAAAATATTGAAGTATTTTGTTCTGATTTTCTTTTACAAACATAAATGTTTGCTGTATTTTTGGCTAAACAGTGGATTTTAAGTTGTATCGGTTGATGTGTTGGCAAATGAAAATGCATTTACTTAATGTGAAGTCTGTTAGTTAACTGCCATTCAAATGATGACAATTCAAGAAAACAACATTGCATTTATTTTAATACTATTCAAAATCTTCAGCTTCAGTAGGGATATGCACTTCTTACCTCATACAATTGACTAGTTTTCACGTAATCGTTTTGGATAGTTAGTCTAACTCATTTGAAGCTTAAAATAGTGTTTTGCTAACTTACGCCTAGTAATGTTAAACGATTCTCAAAAGAAACGTGAATACTGGTAATAAGTTGAGTAATCTGTGAATATGTAGACTTTTTACTTTTCGTTTCTAATATATGTACGTGATAATTTTAAAGGGTATACTACTCAGTTGCTTGTAAATATTTTTGAATCTTGTAATTCAGGATATCCAGCATTTCTATCGCCAGCGACATTTGATTTGCTATTTACTGTTATCAGTACATAATTGCGGTCTTTCATTTAGGATTAGTCTGGAGAGCTTGTTATATAGAAAAATCAACATGAATATAGATTTAAAAACTGCAAAATATAAAATCACGTCTTTCCACATTTTACATAACTTCTTCCGTTCTTTTTCAGAATTGGTCAGTTTTTCGGTTAGTAAGCGAAAATCTCTCAGGTGGGATAGGCGAATCGTGAAAGTCATGTGTCTGTTATTCAGTTATTACAGTTCTTCCTCTGAAGAAGTCTTTTCACGGTTTTCTCGTTTTTGAAAAATCTGTTTGGTTAACAGGAATCTATAGACTGCAATGTCATTAGTTTATATATATACATTAATTCGAATTTCAGAAAGACCAAAAGACGTCATTAGAATTGAAACGTAGTCAAGAATTGAAATTAAATTTCGTAGGTATTCCAATAAGTCGACAGCTTTTTATCAATTAATAAAAACTACAATGAAGATCATAATATTGACAATAATAAAACTACTAGCGTTATTGATTAGTGATAAGTATAATAATATAAACAATAAACTAATCAGATATTTTTATGGGTGTTGGTCTTAGAAAATTTGGGGCATGGAAGTGATCACACTCACTTAAAATCTCTAGTTTCATATTCATTGGGTATAAGAAAATAGTGGGTGATTCACCTACTAGTTTATAAAGTAAACTTTATGGGCTATATATATAGATTTACATAAAAGTGAATAATGATTGTGCAGACAGTGACTTCAGTAATATGTCAATTCATATTGATCGATTCATGTTTTCTAAAAGTAACTCCACGATCTCCACAACCCTATAACGCAAATCATGAGATGCACACTAGTTAATAGTTCTGTGAAGACATTTTTCCTAGTTTAAGTGAGAAGTCGTGACCAGTGCAGTTCAACCTTTTCAGGGTGTGAAGAGGATGAAGAAGTCAGCGGATGAGAGTGCGCAAGACTATGGATTGATCGAAGTTAGACATTAACGCCGTTAGATGCTGGCTCAGTGGTTCAGAGGTTAGGCAACATGTGTAAGACCGAAGGTCTTGGGTTCGAACCCTGCGAGTTATTGGAGTCGTGGATGCGTACTGCTGATGAGTCTCATACCAGGACGAAACAGCTATCCACTAGTTCCAGGTTTCTGATGGAGGATTAACAGTGATCGATTCATGTTTTCAGAAAAAAATAATAAAC